TGAATTCTAGCGCTAGGCAACACTTCAAAGACCTGCGTGAACAAATATTTCTTTGTTTGAGCAGATTCGCGTTGTAAATTTCGGCGTCGCCAGCCGCCAAAAGTAAAGCTCTATTCGCCATCGACATTCCTGGACTCAAGTAATTGTTATGAAAACGGCTTCTTTTTTTTTCTTTGCGTTAAATATTGCGGACTTTAGATGCTAACAAAAATTAAAACAGCGCACGCAAAAAAAAAAAAAAAGCGTCGTCATTATTGCGCATATCTCGAACCCAAACCCCTTTTTGGATTAGCAAATAGAAACGACGTTATTTCTTTGTGCACGCTATTCCAAAACTCGCCACTGTTGTCATGGCAGTTTCTTACGCGGGAAGTCCCAACTGGTTATCTAAATATAATCAATAAATCACATAAATGACTGTCGAAACGGGAGCGACCACGGTATACATTTTTTTTTTTAAACTTCATAAGTAAACCGACCAACGAAACAACTACGTCGCAAAAGAAAAAAAAAAAAGATTGAGAACTTCATACAGATATGTAGGTGTTCTATTATGAACAAACAAATCGCCTGATGTTGACGTACCAGTACTTCTAGCCTCAGACAAAATACAAGTTAAACGTTCGTTGTCTATCTCCTCCGCGAGTTTCCTTACATAATCAAAAGAAACAAATTTCGATATATTATAAATACAAAGAACGATACTTTCAGGAAATACAAATAGTCTCCTTGCGCTGACTATTCTTGACGCCTACCTTCCGATCCTGAATACAATATACGCGCTTCTTACTGAGAGTGTTCCACTACTATTAGTAAACAAACCTCAGTTGTCATAAGGACCTTTGAACCCTCGTGATGTCTTAGTCGTCGAGTTGACGTATCGGGCTAGGGTGTCCGAAGTAAGGCAAGAAAGCGCGGTGAAACGCGACGAAAAACACGAATACAACAACGCATCCGCCAAGGCGCGGAGGGGAGAGCGGAGGAGCAACTGGAAGCAACCTCATGGCTGCCGCGTCACGTGATTCCAAGATGGCAGCGCCCATGCGGAGGAGGATGAAAAGGTCTATATGTGTATATACATCTAAAAGTTTTTTTGTTTTTTTTTATGTGTTTGTGATCGCGGTTTTGAGATCACTTGGGTGTGTTTTCCCAAGGAAAAGAAAAGGGGAAAAAAAAAAAAGGTGTTCTCTTTGTGGTCTCTTTATGTCTGGGTGCGTCGCCACGGTTTAGAGACCACCTGTGTGTGGTTTTTTTTTTTTTATTGTGTGTGCGTTTTGACGCGACTGTTAGGATAATTAGGGACATATCTCTGTCAAGGTCACTGCGATGATCCGCAGTGTCCCTTTGTTAAGTCCTCGTCTCATGTGTGGGTTGTTTTGTATCCTTTGTATCCATCCGGTTCGAAATGTCTGCAACAAAGGAGTTTATGTGTAGAGTGTGGTTGGGAAAAAGTTCCGAGGGTACTTAAAGGCTGTTGGAGAAATAAACCAGTTAGCTGAGTTTGAGACGTTCTCTGTGTCTGTTCCTTCTACTGAAAGTTCTTCCGATTTCTTCCACCGCAGTCTCAGGTGTAATACGACATGACTAAGTATATTGTGTGAAATATTACTGCCATTTTCGGAACGCTTTTATTTGCAGGTGAAACATGTTGGAAATAACTTCTGTATATTTTTTGTAAAGCAATAACCTCAGGTAGGTGAATAAAGTACCAATTCGGTTGTTTTCTGGCTTTGTGTTTTTCTTACCATTTGTTATGATTTATTTTATCAAATGACATGGCCGTTTAGGAAAACGGATGAAAAAATGTTTTCTTTCAATGTGCCGTATGGAACCACCACGATAGTTTCGAAAGAATCTGCCGAGCCTCATTCGTTAGCTGGGGTGTTCGAGATTCACCTCTCATTAGTCTGGACCACAGACCCCCCCCCCCCCCCCCCCTCCCCCTTCCCCATTTTTTTAGTGGCAGTAAAATCGGCCGACGACATCGCTACCACAAATGTCTAATGTAAACGATTTATTTCACGCCGGCTCAAAGCTGAAGTTTTGAAATAATTCGCGGGTTCTAATTTTCGCCATGCGGTGGGATGTCAATATAGATTCCAGTGTGTTTACATTTTACCGGAATTGTTCGCGGAACCTATTATTCGCGGAAATTGGGTCCTCGCGAAAATTAAGTCGTTTACAGTACATGTAGTGAAACTCATGTGGGCGGATGTGGCTATTCCAAGTATGTGAAATATAAATATAATTTCGATTTACACCCAGCAGCGCCCAAAACATTCGTGCTGAACTTTTGTTGGCAATGCATGCGCTTCAAACACCGATCAAAGCTGCGCCCGCGCGAGAGAACGCCAGAAAAGGTTGCCCCTCGAGAACCGCTTGCAAGAAGTTAATTCTGTCAACGCTAGATTGGTGTGCCTAACAGTCGGGAATTCTGATTGAACATCAGCAAAACAATTCAGGATACAGCCCTAAATACGGTCCCACTGAAAACGAAACGCGCAACGACGCGCTGAGGCGTCGCGCGGCCGCGCCTCTCCGTATCCTGACGGCCCTACGTTGCACAGCGCCACCTACCTCGTCTTCCTCAAACGGCCCGCGCCTAGAGCGGCGCTCCGGACACCAAGTCCTTCTAGCCACCATAATCGGGGATCGCGGGACATGGACGCCATTTAATTGCTAAATTTTGCTGGGGGTCTATGGGGCAAAGGGTTGTTTTATTTCCTAACTCAGGTCATAAGAGCCAATTAAGGTGCTTGAATAATTTACACAAGGTATAAATGATTACGTTTCCATAGCCACCAGTTTTGTTGCGATAGGTTAAGTATTTTTTTAACGCGAAAAATCGTAAATTCCGCCATCTTGAACGTTGCTGCTTGTCTGGCAACCCTGCTTTCTCCTCTCGACGTTTGCAATTCTCGGAGCGAGAAGGAAGCGAGAGAGGCTGCGCCAAGGCGTTCGTTGCTTGCAATGGGAGGCGAGAGGAGGAAAGGCGCATGGAGCAACAGAGTTGCAACAGAGCGGGCGTCTGCTCTCCTGCAGGCAACATTGGCGCATATCCTTTCTCGAATCCTTTCCCTCAGGCGCCGCCATTAAATTGCAAACGCTCTCCAGGTTTTGAGTTGCCCCCACCCTCACTTGAGCCTCCCTACATTATCAAATTTGGCAATTTTCGCCACACATCTCTAATTATGCTACAAAATGTGGATCTGAATATTATTTAACAAAACTTTTAGGAAACATTCGCCGGCTATTTATCGTTTACGATCGCGGTGCTGGTGAGGTAGGCTCTTACCCAATAGGCGATGTGGATTCGGCTGACGTGCACCGATTCTGCGTATGCATCGTAGTGAACAGGCGAAGGAAGGAAGGCGCAAAAGAGTCCAGTTTTCTTTTAAAAGTTCTATAGCAAATAATTTTTTTGGGCTCCCTATTTTTGTGTTTTTGTGTTTCTTTTCACACCTTTTACGACGTGCGGTGGATGAAACTCGATTTTAAAATCATTTCATGGTCCCTTTAACGTATTTTAACAGGCGTCGCTACCGAGCAACATCAAAATTATAGTACACATCCTCGTAGGAATGAACGGAATGGAAAACAAAACTTGAGTAGCCAATAACAACCATTACACCCAGGGTCTTACATTTGCACCACAAGCTGCAAAATTCGTTCTACATTTGACTTTTCGAGGCCTATTACTGCACTTGTAGATGTCCGTTTCTATACTGCCTATTTGCTTTTTTTATGTGCTGATATTGCATCGCTTCCCCGCTGATATCAGCGGGGAAGCGATGCAAAGTGTATACGTTACAGCCGCATTCGCTTTGCGACTTCTTGTGTCCGGTGCACAATTTGTCACGCGCTATCTTACTTTTAGAGCGCAGCTCTTAGGGGCCCGTTCCCGGCTTGAGCGGCGTCGGCGTCGGCGTAACCAAGGTCATCCCAAGGTCACGTGACCCCTCCCAAGGTCATCTCAAGGTCACGTGACCCCCAAGTCACGTGACCTTGGGGGTCACGTGGGGTCATCTTGGGGTCACGTGACCCCCTGAGGTCACGTGACCCCTCCCAAGGTCATCTCAAGGTCACGTGACCCTAAGGTGACCCCCACGTGACCCCCCAGCCGTTTACTCGGGAGTCACGTGACCCCCGAGGTCACGTGACCCCTCGAGGTCACGTGGGGGTCACCTTGGGGGTCACGTGACCTTGAGGTGACCCCCACGTGACACACAAGGTCACGTGACCCCCAGGTCACGCCTCCCCGAGGTCACGTGACCCCCCTCCCCGAAGTCACGTGACACCCCCCCCGGAGCATATTAAAGAATGAGGGGAGGAGAAGGAGGAGGGGTCTACCCTCCCCTCAGTACCCTTCCCTCCTCCTCCTCAAGAGCTGCGCTCCAATTCGGCGTTACAGGGAGTTGTAAACGGCTTTCACTTTTTCGGAAATTGCTGCTGCAGCCAACGACTGCGCAGTGGCAGCCCGATGACCAAATATGCGCGGACATGATACATCGACGTATTAACCCACCTTATTACAACTCACTTCGCTGTCAAGGGCTTCAAAACCCATTTAACGCGCACCATTTCAGCATCTTGCCAGCCGGCTGGGCCTGCTCCCGCATACCGGAAGTGTTAGAACCGGAAGAACTATTCCCGCTGTGCGCCGAGTCGCCGAGTCGAGGCTATGCACGTTGCGCGCTGGGTCGAGATTAGACGGAAAAGCGATGAAAAACACACAAAAAAAAACGAGAAAAACGAAACGAAATGTGTTTGTTACGCATTGTGCGGCACCTTTCAATGCAGAATTGCGTTCTGTACGGAAGCCTTTCACAACCGTCGCTTGGCCGCCTTACATAGCACAGTGGAATCTTCTTAGTGTACGCATTGAAGGAGACATCAGTAAATGTTGGTTGCTAGTTGTAAGAAGTGTGCTGTCTGCCCTTGTCCCTAAGTGATTTTATTATTTCTTCGATTCGTCCGAGGAGAGTGGCATTATTTCTCACCTGCCTGAGGTGCGGCTCCATGGTGGCCGTGTTGAAGCCCGCGCACGCGTAGCTGCCGAAGATGGCCAGACCGTACAGGTAGACCATGGGCCCACTCCAGAAGTGGCGCAGGTTCGTCGGGCCGGAGCTCATCTTGTCCACTGGACAGCGGCACAGGGCAGAGCGTATACAGTTACTCAAGGTCTACCTAACTACTATATCCTACAGTTAGGGGTGTTTCCAGTAGGGTGGGGGGTGAGGACGTCAGCCATAATAATTTCTTAATTTAGGTTGTACCCATGGGTTTAGTTCTCAGCTTCGCCGCTAGGGGTGCGACAGTTGGATCTACTTCCCAAAGGGGTCTCAAAACCTTTGTGAAAATCTGTGGAGGATCTGAGATCTCCCGAGACCCCCCTGACTTTTGTTTTTGCACTGGGAAAGCCGCGCGCGTATACCTGTCTTGGGAATGATGAAGAGCGTGACGAGGGTGGACGAGAGGCCCAGGCCGCCGCAGACGACGAACGGCGTCGTGTAGCCGCCGAGCTGCAAAAACCGAGACGGCGTCACGACCCCTGTGGGAACCGTTGCCCCACGCCCGCCCACTCACGTCGTACAGGAATCCGCCGACGGTGGGGCCCACGATCATGCCGACGCTGAACGATGTCTTCAGCGAAGACTGCGGAGGAGAAAACGGGCTCTCAGCTTTTTTTTTTTTTTTTTTTTTTTTTTTTTTTGAGACACGGCTGCTGTCCTTGGACTCTGGACACGAACTCTCTTCTTGACGTTCCCTCATCTCTAAAGTTGCGGTATGCTAATGCATCATACAAAAGGCAGTGTGCAGACATTGTCTGAAACGTGTGTATTTCTTATGTCATATATACCGGTCCTGTCACATCAGTCATACAAAAACTTTCTTTAGACCGAAGAGGCGTTTCCACAAACAATTCCGTCATTATGTTCGACACACCGTGTCATGACGAAACTTTCCCCTCTAAATTTAGCGGGAAATGCACGAACGGACATATGGGCAAAATTTTGGGACTGGGGAAAGGGGGGGGGGGGGGGGGGGGGTAGCGTTAAAAAGTATTTCATCTATTAAGACACACTCGTATTGTGCCCTTTAAAAATCCTCCTTGCTTGATAGAGAGCTGAAACTACACTAACAGCTGTACACTCAGAATAGGCCCTTTTCAAAGTGTGCGCGCCATCTAGAGGCTGGTGCGTCAACTGATGCCGCAGTTCGTTAGCGCATGGTAAGTGGCTCTCGAAACAGCATCATTACACTGAAGGTGACTGACGGCTTGATTGTCTCACTGGCTCGTGCTCGTTCGTGGATGAAAAATTGCGCGCCCTCAGTGAAGCAACAAAAACTGAATAGTTGTAGACAGACAAATAGGTGTCGTTCCATGGCGCCGCGAGACGCGACAAAGCGGCTGTTGTAATCATGCGCGATTCGCATGTAGTTTTTAACCAGGGTGTCGACCTGAGCCCGAACAAAAAAAAATCGGAGAAAAACCGTCCTTTTTAACTGAATCTAAACAAAAACTGTAACCGGAATCAGACATTCAATATTGAACTCGAACCGGAACAGAACTGCAATCTCATGGGGCGGTCACCAGTTCATTGGAAACGGTTTTGGCGTATGTGAGCCGCACCTTCTTGCGGGTGGCGATGCGAAGCCAATTAAATATTCGCGTCAGCGGCTCAGTTTTGACCGTAAACAAACGGCAACGACGACGGGGACACAACTCAATAATAATGGAACAAATAAGTATATATTTCATGTCCATGTATTGGCGTCGGCGAGTCGGCGTCAGGGTGGCGTACAGTTGTAAACTTGGTTTAAGTTGTGAAGAAATTGGGTGGTTTTAAATTTTTGGCGCCTGTTGCGACTCGTAGGACTTGTACGCTTGATCGCGCGATTGATGTCTGCGGTGACACCAAGTGCCACGAAGCGCTACGAAGCGTTTTGTGCGACCACCCTTTAGCTTAGTAAAATTAATGATTTGAGGAAGCTTTTGCGTACTTTTGCAGTCGTCTCTGCGTTTGATGTCAATAGTTTTATGCTGCTTTTTTTCCAGTAACACAATGGGACTGTGTGGCAACTGCCATTTCTTTCACGTTTAGGAATTAGAGGAGTGGAATGGTGGAGTTCAGCCATCCCAGGAGTGGGAATGGGCCCAGTGTTTTCATTCTGACGAGTTGAAAAGAATGTAATTCTTGGGGGAGTTCTAATTCCCCGAAATGGAATTGATATAAAATAGGGGGGGGGGGGGGGGGGGGGGCATTCCGCAACACTGCCCCAAATACGCTCAGTGCCCAAGGAACGGCGAACGCCAATGTTGCTTGATGGACTTTTGAAAAAGGTATATTCCTGTTCATCGAGATCGTACTTGGTCAACGTTACTAGAACCCTCAGTTGGGAACTCACCGTTGAAGCCTGGCCACTGGCGTCCACCGAGACCGAGCTAAATACGACAACAGCGCCACTCTTTATCATGTGTCTGTACTGTGGTCACCTTGTGCTTTTAGAAAGCCTGTTTTCGCGTAAAAACCAACGGAAAAAACTTTTTTGTAGTAACTCTTATTGGAATTTAATGCGAAATGAGGGGCGCGTGATATTTTCTAAAATCTTTAGTTGGCACGGCAAGGTTTTGCAGCACAATTAATATTGTGTTTATACAACCATGCCTCAGCGGTGATTTCAGGTAGCGCGTCGTATTTCGCGGCGCATCCGCTTGGGAGATGGGGTGGCATCTTTGCAACCCCTTCCACCGTATCCGTTTCGGCGCCAAAATGGCCGCTTAAAGCCAAAACGAAAGTCACGTGCAGATGCTCGAGTGGCCGCTGCGGGAGAAATGGCGGCGTTGTGATCGCCATTAGCTCGGTTCTGGTGGACAGATCGGTGCCACTTTTTCAGAGCAGTTCCTATAGGAGTTTCTTAACTGAGTGGTTCTAGCAACGTTGTACTTGGTCAACCGACCGCTCTGAAATGCGATGTCGCTAAGGATTTGAGAACGAAACAGCGTAATCGATAAATTTGCTAACTTCAGGATGACTTTCACGAGTTCTTGAAAAATAATATTTTCGGCGCTAAGAACTTACTTTATTTTTTTAAGCACGCACTTATGTGTCGTTAGTGATTCCATAAAGAAAGTTAACTATGGAGTTTCGAATTTGCCCATTTAGATGCGCGGCAGTGGCCTATTAATGCTGATCTGTGTCAATCTTTAAAAAAAGAAAGAAAGAAAAGAAGGCACGGAAATTTACCAATCCAAACTTGAAATAATGTGTTTTTCTCTTTGCATCATGAAAACCCACATTTTTAAAACGTTTGAGTGGTCATTCAAAGCAGTTTAAAGATCAATTAAAATCTCATACAGTTGAAACGGCAATCTAGCGGACAATGTCCACAATGGCCAGTATGCCTTCAAAATCCTAGGCCAGCAATAGTCGACTTAAGTATATTAGGGCTTAACTCCGCTACACCTCACTTCCAGCCAAAAGTTATGTTAACTATATAGTATTACTGAAAACGTTATCTCAAGCTGTGTATCCAACATATAATACAAACGACAATTAAAAAAATTACCGTTGACAAGTTGTCTTAGTATATACTGGAAGGCCCAGAACGCAAACAGACCTCTACAGTCAATAAAATGATCGTGGGCTCGAACAAAGACGACGAAATAATGCGTGTAACAACAAAATAAAATATATATTAAAAAATAACTTTTCGTATCATATCGTATTTCAATAAGCATGTTCGAAGCACGTGTCCCTCATACACGCTTGGAACATGCCTGGGGACAGTTCTTGTATGTCCAATGTTGCAGAAGATCGTCAAACGAGGAAGAAAAGGACGCCCCAGACAGTCTCTGCAAAGCACTGCAAAGTGCCCTTTGTACGATGCATTAGCATTGTGACCATCGGGTTTAGGTCAACGAGTCACTGACCAGCACGAGGCCGATGTTCTTCGGGAACTCGGACATGATGATGGTAGAGCTGGCCGTGATGTAGGCGGCCGCCCCAAAGCCCTCCGTGATGCGGATGACGAAGGCCAGCGCCACGAACGTCCTGCCCGCCGGCACCAGGTCGATGAAGCTGCACGTGCGCGCGACCTAGCTGCTTAGCTTTGGTCGAAATGCACACGAGTCCACACCGACGGTTGTATTTGGGTTCTTTTTTCCACTAGAACGCTCGATTCGGGTGTTTCGGCAAATGGGCACTTCGTCTGCTGAAGACTGCATCATGTACTGAAGCATGAGAAGCGCTCGAAGCAATGCCTCGAAGGTGACAGGTGCCTCGTCTCGGATTAATCATCGTTATCTGGACTTCTTGAGTATATGCTCCACCGCCCTTTGTACTCATTGCTCGGCAGAAAACAAAAAACAAAAAAAACAATAGAGAGTTTTAGTAGATCGTGTTTTCGGGTCACGCTATTTGTAGCGGGAGCTCGCGTTGCTACTTCGATGCATGCTTTGAAGCGCGCGACCGTAGCATCCATACTATCCGATCAGTAGTGCACATTAAGAGTTATACCGTGAAATAGCGTATTTCATTACATGGATTTATTGAAGCGCTCTTCGTTGCTGCTGAGCCACCAAATTCCTAATCATCATCACTTATTGCTGGCGGTTAGTTAAAAGTCAAAAGAAAAGGCATGTAAAACCAAGAATGCATAGTCACACTCGATAATAAACAGTTCAACGCAACATTGTAGAGACGCTTTTCTAGCACCTGTGTATGTGTGCGGCCACCTTCTTTTTCTGTTTTCTTTCCTTAAAATCGATGTTTCTTTTATTACTGCGGTAGCACAGTAGGTTATTGACCTTCCAGACAGCATGTGTTCTCGCCCTCTACCCATGGGCTTGTGCGAATTCATCGCTGCCCAATTCGCTGGGGCATCTCGGTGACGCAGCGGAGGGCCACTTATGGTCGCTCAATCGGCGCACGGAAAGAGGCGCACGGGATACTACAACACATGCAATTCAACGAATAAAAACGCTACACGCAGCAGCAACCTCAGAAGTAGCATTTCAACCCAGAATGCGCTTCATCAACCGGTTTTCATGCGGAAAAAAAAGCTAGCGAGGGACGGCGTTTGCTCACGACGCGAAAAGAGACCCTTTCGCGCGGCGTTCGAAGGCCGCGCGCTCACGCGTGCCGGCGACCTTGAAAGCGTGTGCTGCGCCATCTTAAGGCGCTTGTCAAAAATGGGAGTGATTCTTCAACACTTTTGCTTTGTAGCGAGGCGGTGCAATTTAGAAGGCGAGAGAGGCAAGCTTATCGAGAACATAAGACAAGACAGAAGCAGCAGGATCGGTCTTCACCATGGGACCTTGCAGACGAACACCGATGATATTAAGGCACACGGTCTGTGCTTACCATCTTTGTCAGCTTGTACATATTTTTGAATGATTCAATAATATCAGGATTCGTGTATGAAAGTTCTCGGCCATAGCTTAAGAATCAATGTCTTGGATTTTTTTTTTTTTTTTTGCTCTAAATTGTTTAGGCTACATATAGTTATGTCTTCGGGTTATTTGAAAGAACGCTTTTGAGCACTGGTGACATGGCTATATTTCTTATTGTAACTTCTAAAACTAAGCTTTTCGGTTACTGTTTTTTCTTCAAAATATCGATCTGCATTAGAGAGTTTTAAAAAAAGAAGAGCCCATTGCTATCTTCCTTCACATGCGCTGTGCGACGCTCCAAAAGCTGCTTTAGAGACCCGAACGGTCGGGGTTTCCCATTCCAAAACTCTCTGTTAGCTCTAGATCGAAAGTTCTGAATGCAGCGAACTACTTTTGTCTGTAGGCGTTTGTGTACCGCGCAGTCGAGCTGCATGATAATAAAAGCATTGGCGCAAATCCCACTGTCCGACGCGCGTTGCGCGGCGAAGTGCTCACCCGAAGCAGATGACACAGACGCTGGAGAGGATGAAGCCGCCGTTGAGCATCGTCTTGGGCGTCACCAGCGCGATCTGCAATCACGCGATTAGTGATCAACAATGATCGCATGCGAAACAGTGATATGACACAAACAACAGCGGGCTCAAGACTGCTGTTCACACATTTGCGTTAAAATGTGGTCCATTGCGACAATTAACCACTCGTGTACGACAAGTGACGAGCGGGAGCAATCTATATGGTCTAGAACACTTCGAAACTGCGCGCAATTCTTTATTTAGTTAATTAATTTAATTACCAATGAACCTGATTCGGATTGTGCGATTTTACTTGCGATTCCGCAGTTGCGACATCGCTCGTGCGGCAAAGAAAGCCTGGAGGAAGTTGCGGTGCCGGATGTTGCAGCTGCCAATTCACGAGCCAAATTGCACCATGTGAATCGGCGGGCTTCACGCATAATTCTTTCGCCGTAGACTCGAAATAACTCTGAAAATGTTATAACCGATTCTTTCCAATAGATTGCCCGTAGATGTGATCTCGCGGGTATTGCGAAACCCTCTGTCTGGTTACACGCAAATCGGAATATAGTTCCACAGCTATCTAATAGATGGCGCCAGTATGCTAGCGTGTTCAAGCGTGTTATCTCGTCGTTAGTGGTTGCAACGCAGTCAATCACACTCGATGACAAACGTGTGAACTAGCATTCATGCTTCCGGCATTCTAAGCACAGAACAGCACTTGTCTTCTCACTTTACGCAAGTTTATAATCATAAAGTGCCTTTGCGGAGAGCAAGTCGTCTGCTTCTTGCGGAGGAGTTGCGGTGACGTCAGAAAGACGCCGAGCTTTGATTGGCTCTGATTGAAGGATAGTGGGTAGGCCTCAAAGCAAGCTGCCTTGAGGTCTATCCACTATCCTTCTTTCAGAACCAATCAGAGCTCTGCGTTCTGACGTCACCACAACCCATGCAAAACAAGCAGACGAACTTGCGCTCCGCATGGATAGTAGAGATTTAAGAGAGGGAGCAACTCAAAACCTCGGAGGGCGCTTTTGTCGGTGCGTGTTCGGTGCAGACAAAGAACATTAAGAGACACAGCGCAAGCGCTTGTGGTGTGTCTCTTAATGTTTTTTTGTCTTGTGGCGCTTTTTTACAAAAGGAACGATGTACCGGTCATAGCTTATCTCTCGCTATTCATAAACTACGCGTGAACCTCGATCGGGCAGTTGCAAACACCCTAAAATCCAGGCCACACTGCGCAATTCCAGCGGAGGCGACGCCATCTAGTGGAGAAGACGCGAAGGTAGAGAAATGAGGTAGAGAAAAGCTTTTATAGAGCCGCAGTGCCGAATTTCGGGGCGACACCTATAAAGGAGGCCAGAGCATGGCAGGGATCGAGCACGAGTGCTGAGTCGGCGTTCGGCGGAGACTCGTGCCTACCCCAGCCGAAACTGCAGACGTCGCCAGAAAGAGCTCCGCAAAAGCAGCTCATTTAGTTAAGGCTCAGTCACGCCGTGCATACTTCGTACAAAAAGACACGGATATTTCTCTGCAGACATGATGACAGAACTGTCCGCGGACACGCGTCAGGCTTGTTCGGAACGTGTTTGATTCACATGTGCATGCTTCGAACACAGACAGTTTTAGTACAACCAATGTTGCAGAGGACCGTCATACAAGCGAGAAACACGCTTCAGCCAATGTCTGCAGTGTGACCGCGACTTTGGAGCGCGCGTAAGTCGATGGGCGCTCGCTTACCAGCTTTCCGTAGACTGGAGCGATGAGGAAGATGGTGAAGTAGAAGGCGGAGAAGATGAGTCCGTACTCGGTCGGCGTGGCGCCTTTCTCCTCGGCCTGTAAAGCACCAAATAGCGAACTTGGAAGCTGCCCCTGAGCGGTTTGTATCTTTGTATGCTTGTTTTTATGCAAACACAATGCCTCGGCCACCGGGTAACATGGCACGGGACATGCTGTGCACTCTGACCGTTTTCGTAGAGCTCTAAAGGCAGTCCTGAAAAACAACGCTATTGCCGTCTGCTAATGACTCTCGAGGAAACCAGTTGTGACCGGGTCACGCTTAAAGGCCGACGACCAGTTCGCGCTTTCCACTTTTCCCTCGCTTCCTCCTCTCCCCCCTTCTACCCTGTCCACCGTTGCCTCTTTTCTCCTCCCCCATGGAGAGGAGGATCTTCTGCCTTGCAGAATCTCGGGTCCGGTCGTCGGCCTTTAAGTTACACCCTGACTTGCTCACGGAGTAACGGAAACACCATGCCCTGTTCACAACTGACTTCCTCCTGTCCCCGCGTTTTATTTCTTTTTTAATTTATTTTGCTTTTGGTAAAAATTGATGAAAGCGCACGACAAGTTAAACAGACCCTTGTTTATTCTCTCGGTGACCTGGTCAACACTGCACACTTCGAGTCCACGGTAAAACTTTACGGTACCTCTGAAAACATGACGTTCGAGTGTAAAAGTTTGATTGTCAGGGCGGGGCAACTCGATATATAAAAAATGGGACGCACGCACACATAGCACATAGGCAGAAACAGGGCCGTACCCAGAAAAAAATTTCGGGGGGGGAGGGGGGGGGGGGGGTTTCGGGGACAACGGCAGCCATTTTGAAAGTGTCTACTGTCTTATTTTCGCGTATGAATCATGTGCATCGGTGGCATATAATGGAGAGTTACAGCAAACCGGAGAACCGGTCCCGGTTTGGTACCCGGTAGCCGACCGGCGCCACTGCGCGTGCGCAGAGGTGGAGATTAAAATCGGCTGGCTGCCAAGGCACCGACCAGGGCCGTACCCAGAAAAAAATTTTGGGGGGGGGGGGGGGGGGTCAGAACCCCCTAACCCTACCCCCCCCCCCCCCCCCCCCCCCCGGTTACGGCCCTGGGCAGAAACCATATATCCGTATAAACAGGGAACTCAAAAACCTTCGCGTTCAAACATTTCAAACAGTGGCTAAACTCGGAATTCGCATGACTTTAAGTAGATCATTCTCATAACACCGATGATGCATGATACCCCCGATGATGCATGATACCCGATACTCCACTGTCTTTCTCATCCTCGGAGCTATCGGGACGATCTACCTAAACTTCCTATTAGCCTGCACAAGACGTATCGTAAAGAAAAGCAAAAAGCGAACAAGGAAAAAAAAAGGTATAACTTGTCTTGATCGCACTCATTCACGTTATCGTTGCGTAACCTGCAAATAACTGATAAGACGGCGGCGACGCTATCGACGACCTGGTTAGCAGGACTTGTCAACAGTGCAACACAAAAAAGTGCCACGAGCTACTTGGGAGTGCCGCAGACAATGTAATCTCAGTTCGGTTGCTTTGTTCCGGTGCGAATTTAGCGCGTGGGCGGCGCGGCAACAAAGATCTCCATGGAAAAGGCCGTGCTCGTCAAAAGGCGAGTCTGCTTCCGGCCACTTGGAATAATCAAGGCCTGCGGTCATCCTGCTCCTCCTCCATGAAACGTCATCACAATCAGATAGCGCCAACTAGTGTCACAAGTGCCAATTCAGCAAAAGGCGCTAAAAAAAAAAAAAAAAAAAAACATCAAGCAACATTGATGGCCTTTCTTTCTTGGGAATGAGTATGAATACCTAGCGGTATGGCTGAATTAGGAAAAACAATACCTAGAAGAACAGGAAGGAAATATGCCAAAGAAAAAGGGGAAAATGCAGCAATTGACCTCTTCCGAGAAGCTGTCTACGCACGTGCGAGCGCCCGATGCCACTGAGCGGGGGAAGTCGGCACGAAAAATCGAGGAAATTCGGAAGGAGGCTGTGGATCAGCGAGTAGAACATGTAATTGCAGCATATATATAATTGGGTTACAGAAAAAAAATGTTACATAAAAAATAATGTGGACGGAAAGAAAAACACGACTTTGGGTGGACGCCACGGATGCCCCTCTTCAAAGTCGAGGTGGGCACGCGACGCAGCTCAGAGAGCGAAGAAACTGGTAGCGTAGCTCCCATTATCGATTGGTAGCGCAGGTAGGTCACTTTATCGATTTTTAGTTCGTGCAGCCACCACTTGGTGTCGTCGGTATTGGAAAAAGGTCTATTATGAAGCATTATACTATGGAATTACACTAGATATTAAAGTTGTTAGGGGAATACGGGAAGGAGTCATGGTGCCGGGGTTGTCTCTTGGCAATGAAGTATTATGCATGCAATCTGAGGTCCAGTCGAGCGTAGAGACTCGGCATATGAGCCGGGACTGGGGGAGCATGGAAATACACCAAATGAAGGAGTGCAGGGAGAGATGGGCTGGGCATCTTTCGAGGCTAGATAGGCGATCAGTAAGTTCAAGTTTGAACAAAGGCTTGAGACGATTCAGGGTACGCGATGGGCGAGAAAGTTATCTAAGCATCTATACATGAAAAGTCTGAACACTAAATGGACAATCCAAACCCGAAAATTGAAATACCAAGTCAAGTGCTGGGACAGAGCAGACTACCCCTGTGGAAAAGGAAGAAAAATAAGCCAAGAGAAATATGTGGGAGGAAAGAATACAGGGAAAATCAGCTTTAACTATATGTACAGGGGACGAAAACAGGAAATAAGGGAGCAGCCTCACTACGCTAAATCACGGGAAAGCTCGTTGCTATACGAGGCTAGAACGAGAGTATGGACTAGGGCATACAGGACAAAGTACGAGAAAATGGATACGCGCGGTGTGCCGTACGCCAAGGGGAAGACGAGACAATAGAACATGTGGGGTTGAAGTGCGCAGGGCTTGCTCCCACTTTCCCGGAGGGGGCGATGGATTTGGCCGCAGCGCTGGGGTTTGCAGACGAGAATGCGAGAATGGAAGGATCGATGATAAGTGCATTTTAATAACAAAGAGGAGATTGGACGACTGATGGAGACTTTCTAGGGAAAACTGATTGACGTGCAACGGACCGGAACAGGGACAGAGACAAATTGGTATTCCCTCCCGCGTGGCTTCGACCTAAAGTCCTTGTCTCCCAGTGGGTCCGGTGTCGGGGTGACGCCGATTTGGTTTGGCCGGGGTGAAATTGACGGCTCCCTCGGCCGGGGGAAGAGGCGGGGGGATGTTTTTAGTGGTTTTGCCCGATCCCCTGAGGTCATCCAAAAGGGCTGTGCAAGACGACGGGACGAGGCGGGACCGCGACATCGCTGCCTGTTGCGATTGGTCAGTGCCACGCCGCTGACCACTCGCAGCAGGCGGCGTTGTCCCGGTCCTTTCGTCGCTTCGTCCCGCCTTGTCCCAGTCTCGCATAGCCCTCCTGGTGATATCCGAAACCGTCTGGTGATAGTTACGAAATTGCTGCGGGTAAGCAAATTTGCGAAGGAAAGGAAGCATACTTAATTTCTAGGCTAGGTGGCGCAAGCTACCACCCGTTATGAAAGGTATACAGTCATTAGCACTTATCTATTCATCCTTGGGCACAAAGCATGTGATTGGATCTAGCTACAAGGTGGAACCAATCAGGCAGCCTCAAAAGCTCACGTCACTAGGCCATTTCTGTTTATGATTGGTTCAACGATGATTTAACATGTGTTTTAGATGCAGAATAAATATTGTATAATATTGTTGGGTCACTATACTATCGGGCAGGATTTGGCGAGATGGACTTACGAAATTAAAACAATTAAGTGAAACTAGTGCGGATTTTACGCACGCTATCAAGGGACTGAGATGCGATTGAGTGAAATACGAAGCCTGATGGCCCCGATGCCATTGTCATGATCTTGTGACAAAAAGACACGTGCGATCATTTCCTTCTGAATGAGGGTAAATGGATGCTAGCTTATATTCTGAGCGCAATAAAACTTGAATGTAATCTGATCATTTCAATCGGAGTGCACGATTAATCGTTCTGCATCGACCTATGCTTGATACCAATGAATGTTGTCAGAGACCAGACAAAATGACGTTTACTCAAGTATTCTGATCTTACAAGTCTGATACGAGCTAGTTGTTTTACATTTGGCAGTTTGAAATTGCGTCGAAGATATCCGGGAAGGAATGTTTTATACGCATGCATAGAACACGTTGAACAGCCCAGTAGATAATGATGGCAGCCCAGAATATGATTACTATGTTCTATACCCGGAGACAACTCTGTTGAATTTCTCAAGAGACTTTAGACACTTTAATCTGTGCTCAAAATGCGCGACAGTATATATATCTTTCAGGTAGAATAGGACGCGCGAATATTATAAGGTTAGCTGCAGGTCGGTAAATGACTCAATCGGCAAAAAGCAAGATGTTACAGATTTAAAAAGTAAAAAAAAAAAAAAAAAAGAGCTCTCAAGAACATTGTTTGGGATTTTCGCCCAAGAATACGTTTTGAAGGGGAGCAATCGATAATTATATCATACCTCAGGTACTTCCCCCTCCCCCTGCGCCAATCGATAATTATATCATACCTCAGGTACGTCCCCCCTCCCCCTGCGCCTTATTTAATAGAAGTCTCAAAATGAAAAAAAAAAAAGAAGGAAACGTTTTTTGCGTGGTTTGACTTCGTTTCCCCTGACGGCAGCAAAACTTTTAAGCGTGATTACAACTGAGAGCAAAGAGCTCGTCGTTGACTTCTGGAATGTTCTTTCAACGCTTATACCCCCCCCCCCCCCCCTTTACCCCCCGCTCTCCCACTTTTTTTTTAAGCGAGTTATTGGGTTGTGGACGCGTATGTACAACGTTTGATATTCCCCAGGGGAAAGCAGCTATGTATGCCCACAACCTATCCACAGTTCATGAAGAAAAATATGGCAGCGCCCAGAACGTAACCATTGGAATCTATGGATGCTCACCTTCTTGGGAAAGAAAGGCGCCTGGAGAGAGAAGCTCATGGCGGCGCAGAAGTTTCCAGCGTAGATGAGGCCCGCGATGAGCCACTGGCGCCTCGTGATCTTGGTGGCGCCCTCGTCAACCGAAGCAGTCTTGGTGAACCAGACGGTGCTGGGCGCCGACTTCTGCACGAAGATCTCCTCCTGGATGCTCGGCGACGCCACCGCCGAATAGCTGCTCCAGAACATGGCTTCCGCCGTCCTCATCTTGTCTCCTTTTTGGCAGACGCAGTCACACTTGAGGCACGTAGAATGGGTCTCGAGAGATACTTCTCGGCCCGATCTTGGCGAACCGGTGGAAGCGGTACTTGGCAGGCGGTCACGCTTGAGCAGACGATGACGTTGTACCTGCTAGCACGGACACTGCGTCTCAAGAAGGACTTGTTGAAGGGCTTCGCAACCGGATTTTGGCAAACCGGTGGAAGCGGTCCTTGGCAGACGTGCACGCTTGGGGCGACGATGACGTTGCACCTATACTGGCGCGGACAATGTGTCCCAAGGCAGACTTTTCGAAGCACTTCGCAGCGCGATCTTGGATAACCGGCGAGAGCGATCCTGGGTATGCGGTTCTCGGGTTCAACAAGGTGCTGAAGCCTCACGGCTGCTCCGAGTAATCGCGCACAGCTGAAAGTGGGCGACTGGGCATTGGCTCGGTTTGTCGGGAGGCGGAAAACTACTTGGGTCTTTGTCTTTCTGCAAAAAGTGGGCGAGGGAAGCCTTATTTGTGTGTTTGCGTTTCTCGCTATCTGGTCGTGCATACGGTGCACTATCGAGGCCGTCCCCCCTCCCCCGAAGTCAGTGTATCTGGATAAGAAATCGAGGACTTGTGGGCGCGAGTAACGACTTTGCTGCCTCAGCTTTCTCGGTGGGAAATGTTTTCTCAGTTATTCTGTTTTATCGCGACGGAACAAGTAGAAATCGTTCGCTGAAACACTGCTGTTGACTAAAAGCCTGTTCACACATGCAGTGGAGCGCTACAAGCATAGCGCTAACCTCGCGCTAAGCGCGTGCTGACGGCAGAGTTCACCAGCTTTGTATCGCACCGTCAAAACTGTTGCTCATGGCAGACGATAAGTAGCTGACGACACGTGAGTAGCGCTACATCAGCGCTTCGCTGCATGTGAGAACCGGCCTTTCAAATCCCTCCCGGAAATTTTCAAGAATACATTCCCGTTGTGTGTGCATAGTAATTTCAAATATCTTTAGACCGAAGTATGCCGAGTGAAACAGAAAGTCAAGATCTCAAACAGATTCACCGATAGCCCGAATGGCCCATTCCAACTGTTTAACGGGGACTATTTGTCAGTCGACCCCATGGACCGGTGGTCGGCGGAGCCTTTACAGAGGCCACAAATTAATGTCCGAGCGCAGCCGGATGAATGAATCATTTTAATCAAGCGGCGGCTTAATTGCAACAACTAATAATTCCTATAAGGTTTAGACCTGTTCGCCATTTCTTGATCACGTACTTTGAGCATGTATTGGACATGAACGGCTGCGTCAGCGTTGGGATATACAATGAGGCGCTTCGTGCCCCAAAAATGGCGACCATATCAATCTTTCTTGACGAACTCCTGACAGGGGTCTGCGTCATTTTCGCAACCATGGTCCCTCCACCCCAGAGCGACTAAGTAAGCTACGCTTGGAGCATCGGTACGACACTTCCTGATTTCCTTGTTGGCGCCGCCATTTTAAACTTTCTGGGCTTTTAATATGACGCCAGGAAGCTTAGGCATTCGCGTCTTGCTCTGTCGCGGTCTGCTTTAACATTGCGTTGAGGACGGAAATGCGTTTCCCGCCATTTCGAATAAAGCTTCGCATAAGTGGCAATTATAAGACTAAACACCAAAATGGCTAGGTTGCGCAAGCTACCGCCCGTTATGAAAGGTAGAGGCGTTAGCATCCATCCATCCATGGAGGACGTGGTAGGGCAATGGCGTGCTTAACGACTCTATATACTCCTGCTTGTGGAGCAACCAAAAGAGAACAAGAAAAGAAAATATGCATACTTCTTTCGACTCATGCCACCTGTCAGATGTTGTCAGATTACCTCTGCTTGGTTATCTCCGCTTCCCCGAACGTCCATCTTCCCTCGCTATCCTCAACCTCCAGTGCCTTTATCCAATCAGTCGCGCCTTCGGAACCGCAAAACTTCGGGGTAAACCCTTTACGATAAAGTATCGAGGATCGACGGCCAGACGACAGGGGCACTCTATAGGTTCCTCCTGTGATGGAATACGTTAAATGTTACATGCATTGCTAAAACTATGTTTGGTCGGAATGCGATAAAAGTCTAATCGAATCTCAACAGTTCCGAAAAAGTTATCTGCGAAGCTGCAAAGGAGAAAGAGTTTGCCCGATGACCTTGTCGCGTACGTAGCATTGAGATGATACGTCGTTGCATCGGGTAGTAGGCCTTCAACCCTGTACAACTGTCTTCAGACAAATTCGAAGCCTACCGTATGTATGAAGTACTTCGAACATTCTTGAGGGGTGTCCTCAGATAATTGTCATCATTACTGCAGCGAACGCCGTGTACGCTTTCAGGCAACTTTTCATGGGCGCCGCCATCTTGGCATCACGTGACTCGTCCGCCATTGCCGGTCTCTACTTTCCCGCTCTTGCGCTACGTATAGCACTGCGTACTGCGCGTTGTCCAGCCACCGCTCGGGTGTCAGACACGATGGAATCGAATTGTGAATGGGTCGACGACACTAGAATATGGCCTAGACTATATCTAGACCTTAGAGACCATGTAATTCATCACATTTGTTACGTTTTTTTGCCGAAAATAAAGGTAGCTGAAACCTAGTGCAACTTCTGGAGATGTCAAGGTGACACAGCAAGGCTATCGGAGTCTTGTATCCATCGCTGCATGTGCATATAGTTTACACGTCGCGGTCTTGTTTCTCGCCGAAACTTGGCGACCAGCGACTGGGTGGTCCGTCGCCGTCGGGGCGGATTACTCGGTGTTGCTCGTCGCACCGCGCTCGGTTGTAGAAGGTTCCTAGTAAACTTTGCTCGTCGCCCGGGATTCGCTCGCGTGCGGTCTTTGGCGCTGTGCCTCGCCGCTCATCAGAAAAATATCGTGTTCGACGTTGGGTGCATCGGAGTGAGTCACAGCACGCAACCTATGCGCTGGGTTTAAAGTTTTGAGTGAAGGAATAATTGCTAAATTGCTAGCGCGGCCCGAAAAAAAAATATCGCTCCTACAGACGACACGCTTCGCTCCATTGGGACAGGGGAGTTTAAGTGCCGTTTGGCGCGGCTTCAAAAGCTGATAACGCCGGTTCGAAAAGTGCTGCCAGTCCCGTCGTCGGCTTATTCAGTACGAATCGGTGCATCGAAAACGGAACAAAGCACGGACAGTTCACGTGCTTCAGCGGGGCACGTTCAGTGCACACAGTGTGGTTCGAGACCTCAGTGTCACCACTGTATAGGTTTTGCAACCCACTACAAAGCACGTCTAGCTTGTTGTACGCCGTTTACGCGCCCCACTGCGGCCGCAAGGTCACACAATCACCCGCAAGCCAGGTAACCGGAGCGCAGGCGCAGGCCAAGATACAGGCCAACAGTGGCGGCTGAAGCCCCTCTAATGGCGGCCTGAGAAGCGCGCCGACTGGTGGGGGCTTGGGTAACCGATGCGCGTGATTGCGACCAAAAGAGTGAGCACGGTGTCTTCGATAAAGACTTTGAATTGCTTCGATAAAGGCAACGTGCTAAACCACTCTGAACTGGACTCCCTATCGTACGATTAATAAACTGGGTGAAAAAAAAGGCACAAACGGGAACGCAAAACGTTGTATGCTGGGTTATCAGGCGACGAGTACATTCGAGAGCGGAAAACGCGGTATCACGAACAATTGTTATAGCTGTCAAGAATAGTAACTGCGCAAAGTAATTGCATCGCGGCGGCGTATTTGTAGTGAATTATTTTCGAGCAATAATTAGTCAAGTAAATATAGCAACAATCGTAGCTGGGGGCGTGACTACATGCCACGGAATATAAAAACAGCCCGAAAAGCACAAGAACTTTTAGAGTTGTATTTGCCTTTTATGACGCAAGCTCAACTCGCGCACCCTAAGAAATATAGAAAACCCAAACTTACAATCATGCTGATGCGTGACCTTTTTCTCTAATAAAAAGAAATTAAGGTGCCGTTTGGCGCGGCTTCAAAGCTGATGACGTCGGCTCGCTCCATGGGACCAGTTAATGCTTTCGCATTCAAATATGACCAGATATCGCTACACGTCCCCTTGTATATATATATCCACTGAATTGGATGTTTCTGAGGACGCTCTACAACTTTGCCATTGGAACTTTTGCTCTAATTTGAATATTCCTAAAGTTAAATAATCAATCCTAATAATTATTTATTGGCAAAAATACAAAGAATAGCCTGACTTGCTCGGAACAATGAACAAACGTATTCATTTGGTTTCGTCTTCCTAAAATGCACCAACATATTTTAAAACCTTGGCTCAAATTACGTGGAATAAATACAATGACTGAAAAAGGGACGCGTCGCAATGTTTGGTCCCGTTTATATTAAAAAAAAAAAAGGCTCCTCATGATTGTAAGTTTAGGTTTCCTGGGATGCGTAATGAACATAGATTAAGTTTACGCAAAAAAAAAAAAAAAAAGAAGTGTGCACTATTAAAATTATTTTTAGTACCCTACGCACTTGGAAAGAGTTTTGAATTCACTCCAAGTTGAGCACGCTTGATTGAATCTGCGTTATTAATTTCTTTGTGTGTGTGTACGTGTTTGTGCGTGCGTGCGTGCCTGTGTACGTGCGCGCGTGCGCGCTGCGGTATGGCTTAGCAAGGGGCTTGTCCTACCTTGATCTGTTTTTGTATTGCTTCTCTCTGCCATTCCCATGTATCCAAGTATCATGTATAAAACTCCCGTCGAGAATCAGCGCCACGTTGGAGTTTATTCCGAAATTCGCTATTTCCCGAGTCTGACCACGGCTGCCGTGCTTGGTGTCGACATTGAGGTCGGCGCAGTGCAGGGGAGGGGCACTTTCTCGCCTCGGGGGAGGCTCAAGGAGAGACAATGCCAAGTGCGAAAGATAGCCAGCGCGGGGCGATGTACTCCGCGGAAATCTTACGCGACCCTCTCGAAACGCCCAGACGTTTTTCTCTGCCCTATCAACGGCCATTGTCTTGAGAAGAAAGCCTGCAAGGCTGCATCGCCTCGTGGAGGACCCTGCACTCACCCCCTCTAAGCTTGAGAAAGAAAACAAAAAAAAATAGTTCTTGTTGTTTTCACTTAAATCGGGAAATCCGTCACGTTCGTACAAAGTCCACGTTCTTATTTGTATTTTCGTGCGTTAAGCGTTCCTTCTTTGAGGAGGCACGGTTGTCGACGAGGTATGCCTCCCTATGCGAAAGGCATTTGTAAGGCAACACGAACTGCCAGGCCACACCTACAGATAAATAAATACCTTCGGCACCAAATCGGATTTTTTTTCCACGCGAAAATATTCCGTCAGGTAGTAGTAGGAGATGTATATTTATGCCGTTTTAGGGTCATGGAGGGAAGGGAATGTGTAGATGGCGTCGAGGCCTTGACTCGGGGTATGAAAAATAGTATACAAAATGTTTTTTTAGGCATGGCATGTTTGCGATTTATGCAGATGAGATATAGGGCAAAGGGGACCAAATACAGGGAGCTAATCGTCGAAATAAATTGAATTATTAATTAACATTTGTTAGCATTTGAATTAGTGAAAATAAACATATGGTTTCAACGAGAAACTTGCTTAGCATCATCGTAAAACCCAAAGTCAGTCAATTTTAGGACGGGAAGAAGCACGTGGAGTGCGCTGCAGTTACCACTGGTGCAACGTAAACCATGCTGACGGTGCAAAAACCCGGATGATAAGAGACGGCCGGAAAAACCGCGCGGACGCGTTTTCGCACACGTATCCTTGCATCTGTACATCCGTGAGCGATATGAAAGTGAACATCCCTCTTCTTCTTTTTGACGCTCCTGCAAGTTTTGGAACAAGCTCTGTTCCAGAAGAGGGCTAGAACGCAAAGTTTAGACCCCAAGCCACGTACCATTTGAGACGTTGAGAGTTAATACAGCATTAGGGAGCCGTAAAACAGGCAAGAAACCAGGTAAGGTGTTCACCTTCATATTGCCGGCGGGTGTACGAGTGGTAACTTTAACGCACCACCGCCCTTCCCACGCTCCCTGAATAGTTCTCAAATGTACTTGTTTAGTGATCTTCAACGACGCCCAGCAAGCTTCTAATTGGAATCATATATTTAATTTCAGTAACTAAAAAGTGAATGAACACATTTTTAGTTTATCAACGTATACTATTCCTGACGACTATTCACCTGTATTATGCCCCCCTGCTTGTAGAACTCACCTGCGCAAACCGCATTAGTGTAGCTTTCGCAGCTGTTTCAAAACAAATCAATTTCAAAACAATCAAAAACAATTTTTTTGCCCCCCCCCCCCCCCCTCTTCCAAAAAAAAAAGAAAAAGTTAGTTTTTATTTTTTGTTGATGGAGGATCAGCGAAGCTGTTATGTTTACGACGTCTAGGACGATGCCTAGGGCATCGTCCTAGATTCTAGGGCATAACAGCTTGGTTGTAAAAAGAAAACAACCCTATATAATTTAGTAGGGTTACTATTAAGATGAACCCTATATAAGTAAGTTTTGTGATTGAAATCGAGAAGCAAGCGTACAGCCTTCCCTTGCTTGTCTCCGAGGGCCCGGGGGAAGATCCATTCCTCCTTGGAAGTCACCCCCGTTAACCAGACTTGTTTGAAATCAAATTGTATTATATCACTGCAGCTCGCAAAATGTAAATATTTATCACTAGGTCTGATTGATCAGTCCATCAGATTATTTAAAAAAAAGTGTGGACAAAAGAATTTTTTGTTAGATTTAAAGTGCACTTTAATTAGCTTTTTATTGTTGTAAATCTAGCCATACTAAAAAAAAAACAGCTTGATTTCTTTTTGTCAATAACAAGGCGGTAATAGCATTTCTATGTTTGGTTTCGCTCGCAATATGGCATTATTTTTCTTGTTGTAGTTCCTTTTACGTTATAATTAGCTGAATATATATATATATTGTAACTGACAAAGTGGAAGGTAGGGATCGAGAAGCTCAACTTTCCGATTAGCTCAGAAGGGCACTGCTTTTTGCTCGTGTTCAGCCTGCTACAATCTTCATCGCTAGATGATTATCTGATTTAGGTAAATGCACATAGAAAGCATCAAATAAGAGGCAAACTGTAAATATTAAAAAAAGTTAGAAAATTATTTTTGAGGGAAAGTTTTGATTTGATTACTACCGAGGTAAAACTGGTGTGATTTAAATCATTTTGATTTCTATTATCCTCCCTGGTAGGTGGTCTAGGTCGACAACATGTTGGCGGTCCTTGCAGTAGCTGCATGTCGGTGGTGTGGGCGCCTTTTTTTGCACGTTGCTCTTCTGTTCGGCATGACCCTGAGTATCGGATCAAGAGCCCGCAGCTCAAGTCTTTGCCTCGGTCAGGTGCGACGACGACAAAGAAATCGGAAGATCTGAGGAGTAATTAGTCGTCCAAGCCATTTTCAGTCATAAAAATCTTAATAAAAAAAAAAAAGAAATAGATTATATGACGCGACGCTAATCACCGTCAAATTTAATTAAAGCTCGCGGGGTTTCGAAACGAGCTCTCCTGATTCCCGGAGCCTTACCAAGTCCCCGTAAACCACAAGGCCGTAGTGTTAGATTTTCTCATTGGCTTTCTTATTCGGAAGAGCAGACGCCGAGCGAGCGTTCACAGCCCATGGGCTGTGGGCGGCTGAGCCACTGCAGTGGTTAGGCGTTTTTCGCCTGTGTGATAAGCGCTGGAAAAGTGTGTACCGAGGGCAACTTTTAGGAGGCACGTATTACGCAGGGTTCGGAATAATCATCCGCATCAGTTTAAGTTCAACAATGGAAGTTCCACTCGTCGGTTTCCGCTCACAGAGAGGAACCGGGTGCGCTTTTCATATCTGGGACCGAAAATATTTGTATAAGACTTGTCTCTTATCCTACTCTTGCCTGTGGTCCCAGAAAAAAATATTTTCAAAATGACTGCAACATTAAGGATCCTGCTGTATTCGTAGCTACACGCGCTGGTACGTGATGGCGTCCGCAGTAATTATTTTAAGTAAAACTATAGAGGCGTGGAAATATGAAAAACATTTGGGGTGCCAATCGACTATAATCGGATATCCTCAAATACAATTATTCTAGTTTTAATGTGAGTTGAGCATGAATACCTTAATAAATCTGAGCTTTTACACAATTTTTTGGTATAGAGAGAGAGGTGACTTTATTTTGAGTGCAGCGTGAGAAGTTTCCAAGAGCGCTGATGCAAAACAGTGAAGCTTGAGGCGCGCGCGAGCCGGTGCGATGCGGGGAAGCTTGACGCGAGAGCGCCGGTGGTGCGATGCGGTGAAGCGTGACGCGAGAAATCTGGGAATCCCGAAGGCATTGTTCGTAACTAATCGAATGTCGAGGGGTGGACAGACTGACCGGGCCTAAGAGCCGCAAACAAAACCAAGAAACTTCCTAGAGCCGTGTGTGTGTGTGCGTGGGGGGGGGGGGGGGGGGGCGGGGGGGGGGGCAACTTTTGTCTAGGGCAATTCATTTATTCATTTGTTTATTTTCTGTGCTGTGCTCATGAACAGCTTGACGCCTTGATAATGATGCACAGCAAAATGTTCACAGGTTAGTTACAAAAGTCTTAGAAGCTATGAAATTCAGTTTAAAAACAATATCTGCTCCACTGAGAGTAATGTAGAAGTATTCAGTACGGGTCATGGGGATGGGTGGGATGATGTGATTAACAAAGAAAGTCGGAGAAACCCGCAATACTCGACTGGGATTGTTAATATTAATAGCAGTTGTGAGATCTCGGCAATCAATTGATCCATGAATAAATTTATACAGGAAAATGAGATCGCGTTCACGCCGTCTAGGACTCAGATTAGGGCATTTGCATCGTTCCGATAGTCTCGCATAATAAAAAAAAAAACAAAAAAAAAAAAAACAGTACGACCAATGTAACGATCATAGACAATTCAAGAAAATACGCTTTTAAAAATTTTCAATCATCTCGATCTTTGCTCGTAGAACTAATACAACTCCAGGCTACAGAGGAAAACTCCAACTTGGATCGGATTAATGAGAAATATAACCGTAGAATACAGGTTGATGTGGAAAACTCACGCGGGATTCTAGAAATTAGTCCCAGCTTACGAAAAGAATCATTTATAAGGTTGTTAACATGTACAGTAAAGGCCCGTTCACACTCTTGCGGCCGAGTGCGACCGAGTACGACTGAGAGAGACGAGTTCTCTTAAAACTTGTTAAATGTTTTTAAAATGAGGGAACAAACTGGCATTGTGGCGCCATCTATGCGGTGACCCTGGAACTGCATTTCACAAGAGCGAAGGTTTTGCGGGATTTCCGAGGTCAAATGTGCGTAATACCCATAGAAAGGCTCGTTTATAACATTGACAAACGTTTTTCGAGCCAAGAAAAAAAGGATAATGCGCGAGAAATAAAAAAAAAAAAATATGCCGGACCGCCGAGTTTACACTGCTTCCCAATATATGGCGCCAGTGTGTTTTCTGGTTTAAGAAGTTGTAAGGAACCTAGGTTTAAGATGTCGCAAGAGTGTGAACGGGCCTTAAAGTATAACGAAAAGTCTATGTATACGCCAAGATCACGCGTGCACTCGACTCTTCGCAGCGGATCATCGCCAATCTAGTAACAAAAGTTTATTTTTTCTACCTTTCTAGACAAAGACATAATAACGGTTTTAGAAGGATTGAGAGTTAGCATGTTCTGACGACACCAGTTGCACACACGCCTAGGTAACATCCTCCATACGTTTTTCACAGTCTTCTAAGGATATGATCTGCCTAAACAACTTGACATCCTCTGCATATTGCAAAATGACCGCATTGCGAACTATTCAGCTGAAATCATTAATAAAAACATTAATAGAGATCGGCCCAAGTATAAACGAAATTCGAACTACTTTCAATATATCCGAGTCAAAAGTAGTTCAACTCTACGTAAGGTAAACGAAACCCGTCTTTCGATTTAAAACGCGCTCCATTTCTCTTTTTGGGAACTGCTCGCGTGACCAGGAGGTAGGCGGGGAAGTGTGTGTGTGTGTGTGTGGGGGGGGGGGGGGGGGGGGGCAAGTTTGAGGGGGGCAATGACGGGTGGCAAGCTTGAGGGGGGCACCCCCTCGCTCGAGAGTTCCACAACTGAGTTAATGACAAGGTTGGCAAAATGTGTATATAAATGGCTTGCGACGACGTCCGACCAGTGGCCATTAGGAAACCTCGTTGGGGGCAATGACGGGTGGCAAGCTTGAGGGGGGCACCCCCTCGCTCGAGAGTTCCACAACTGAGTTAATGACAAGGTTGGCAAAATGTGTATATAAATGGCTTGCGACGACGTCCGACCAGTGGCCATGGGGAAACCTCGTTGCTGCGTGCAGATCTTCTACAGCATATATTCCGCTCCACCAAATTTGTTTTTCTCGGCAAGGGCAAGTAGGAACGACCTTTGGTACGGTGCATTAACATCTTATGCAAGCCATGCATTACAATGAAATTGTGTTACAGAACAAATTGACAGACAGATTCATATAACAAGTGCAGGCTGTGCAGGCCGCAGTAACAGGTTTATTCCTTCGACCACCGACATAGAGCAGTGTCTGAGAGGTGCCGATCGGTGGTCAGGACTGCTCGGGACGACCTGCGGAGTTGGCCTCGTCCCACACCGTGGCTCCGCTGCAGGCGCAGATGCGTTTCGGGTTTTGGAAGAGGCCCGAAGCTCGGGCAATGATGCCGCAGGCCAGCCTGCACAGGGCATGACACCCCCACCGTCACCGCTAGAGGTCCTCGATAAAAATTTAAGCGTGTCTCGATCCCATCTGGTAGACTCTGAGATGCACAGTCTGTTTCGCGATTGAGTTGGGCACATGCTGTGTGCGTCACATGACTTTGATGTCGCATGACTGCATGACACCAGACTGTGACGTGACTCAACTCACGGAGCCAGTGATGTTAAGTTTGGCTGTCACGTGATGTCATGGTGTCAAGTGACACTCTGGCAGCAAGGTCATTTGAAAACTGTCCGGTCGAAACCGGAAGTACTTAAGTTTTGGCGCCTGTTACGTTGAGGGTGCCTTCATATAGACAAACATTATTTTTATTTTGATACATGATCTCCCCTTATTAATTACACCTTTCAAGAGCGTATGCACGAAACTGCACCCCGAATTTCGGCAGTGTCAATGGCTGACATCCGTAGTTGCTGCGTGACGTCACAAGACGCAAAGGTTTGTCGGATGGTTGGGATAACAAGCATTAGTAGACGGATGTCTTGTATTTTGTTTCGAACTATATAGACTCCTAAACTGTGCCCTACTGAAATATGTTTCTTTTAATGCAGTTCCCAAGTGTGTGCAAAAAGAAGTCAAGCCTTTTAGCAAGATATTACTCGAAAACACCCATAGGCTTCAAGCAAACGTATGTCGTTTCGCGCAAACACAACTGCGAGGACCACCGATCGAACTAGGATCTCTTGCAAAACAAAGGATGCAGATTTTAAAATTGTTTTGGCCTCTGAAGCGGCACCTAGGTACACGAAGCGGCATCTGGATACACATATCGGCGGATCTACTGGATCGGTGATGAGACTACTGGTCGTTCCCTCGGAGGCGATTTCTGCGGGTTGAAGGCAACCGGCGAATCGTTCAAATGCATGTCGTCACTTGACATGGACGAGCTTGGTGAATCGTAACCACGCTCCATTTTTTACTCGTGGTTCAAACCGAATCGGGCTGCACGCGTGCTAAATACAACTTTTAGCACCGCTCCAAATGGCCTAGCTGTTGGTTTCGGTTTCGCCGCATAATCAAACCGATTGATCCGATTTGGGCGAGGAGTGGATGGACGTAGTTGAATATCATTGGCACAGCATCACACCTTAACTTACGAGGCTTCTGTCCACTTAGAGCTCAGCTCGTAGCTCTCTTCTGAGAGATGGTTGCTGCATAAGCGGGATCTCGATCTTGACGGGAACCCAGTCTATGCACATCAACGATCCATTTTGCTCGTCACTGCATGTCTCGAGGAAAAGTGAGGGACGTCAAGTCTTGGCTCGCATGTGCTGCCCGGTGGTTGTGGCATCCAATCGCGCAACAAAAACCCCACCCTTCCATGAAACAGGTCGAGCGCAACAACAAAAACGAAGCACGCTGCGGCGTTCACTCGCAGGAAACAACGAGACGGGAATGCTCGCTCTGCGTTGTGTGACGTCAAAGCTTCAATGTTGCCAACGAAAGCAGCGTTTACGCTAGGAAGCGATGGGAGCACTATAAATTCAATTACTCATTCGGAGAAGCATATAAAATTGAGGTTTCGCACGTACGATGTGTCTCGAGGCAATAACAATGATATTCAATTGTTTTCTCGGATACAAAATTTGACTGGACAATCCCTTTAAGCAATGTAGACCCTAAAGTGCTCTTCGTGGCAAGAGCCAAGGTAGGGGGCGCTACTGAACAGCACGTAAATGCCACGTGATACCAGGGAACATAAGGATGCCCGATTTGTTTAAATTGAGCACAAGACATAGTGGTACGGCGTGATTGCTTGCTTTCGGACACAGTGCGTTGGTTCGTTATTGTTCTCTCAGTGATGACAAATTCGCGACTGAAAAAGGTACGTTTCCATCCATATTCGAGAGAAAAGCAACTGGGCAAGTCGAAATTTTAATAAAACAAGGCAAATAGGAGTGGATAAGCACGATGGTGTGTTCAAACCACTTATCAGAAGCTTTTACGTATGGATCGTTTTGTATTATGTTTTGCTTTTCTTTGCCAGTGTCTGTTTCGTTCTCCAGTAAATTTCACTGGCAGGACTCGGCGTCAACGATAGTCCGGTGATATGCCTTTTTTTCCCCCTTCACCCGAATTTCTTTCTCGCTGTCATCCGTGTCACCTGTCGCACTGCAAAGCTAAAAGATTGAACAGTCCTTTTTATGACGCCCGAAACAAAAGAATGCTCGTGTGTCTGTTAAAAAAATTAGGTCCCAAGGATCATACGTTCGAACAAGTCTTGCTTTTTTTAAGGAGCAGTGGCTGTGCCATAGTGTTGTGAAAGAGAAAACGTTACTAGCGAGACAGCGAGGATGAACGAAAGCCCATTCAGCTCTGAGGAGCAACGGCGGCATCCTCACTTTGGGTTGTGTCGCGCTTCCGCTAGATGGCGACACTGAAACTTCTTGCTGCGTATACTGCTTATAACACCTCGACCTATGCGTCGGCCGGCCAGTCCAGACCTGAGGCATCCGGTGTCGGACTGCGTTGGCTGAGCGCAGACGACCAGCGAACGGCCGATGATGTCCGGCACCCGGACCGTGTCGTCTGTCTTACGGAAGACGCTCCGGCCACTGGAGTCCACGCTGATTTCGCCCAAGGCCCCGTACACCTGTCCAAAGTAAGAGCAGTCTCTCTTAGTGTGGTGCCTGGAATGCATCCCCAACTGCTGCGTCTGCCGTGCCCTCATTTGTGGTCTTTCGATTTCTGCCCGATGACGTCATAAAAGTTTCCCGCTATTGGCTGCAGTGATCCTGGCAATGGCATGGCAGTGGAGGTGGATACCGCAGATGCCCGTCACCCTTCAGCACGACAGTCCGTCGAAGCTTCCGCGACCAGGAGTCAGGACGCCGCGACGACGGCAACCACTGTGTTTGCACATCTTTTTTGTTGGAACCTCTACGGCCAACTGCCAAGACTGCGACATCCGACAATGCGACGTGCCAGATTCTGCGACATAATTTGTTGCCGCTTCGGGACTATTTTCGGTGCATGGGAGGCACTAAAAACACTGCTCAAAGCCGCGTTCCAGGAACCATAGTCTTTGAGCATGGCTCATGCCATATTATGTGTTGTTTTGAAATACTGCATTGTAATGTGATGCATTGAAATGCGATTTAGATACTTGCACAAATGTGATTGGCCGACGAGCGCACATCATCTCCACGCTGACATCGCGGCTTGGGTATCCACCGCCTTTTCCGAGCGGAAAAATTAGCTCAAAAAGGGGTGTGCCCAGACCTTTCATCAAGTTTTTAATAAAAAAAAAAAAAATCGGCTTTGCACAATGTAGTTTTTGAATTTTTGGGATGCTTAGGGCCCATAGAATCCATTATGACCAAGAACAGACGTTAGCAGAATCCTCTTTAGTGCTCCCTTAAGATTTCTGAAACTACCTACTTGCAGTATTTTATTATAATTGCTGTCCCATAAAGGGCATGTCATTGCATTCTAAGCTATATTAAACACATGCTTTTTTTAGTGCCGTTATCTATAAAGAAATAGATTGCTAAATTTTGATACGCTGCTAATATATATATATATATAACAGCATTGATAATTTTGTGGGTTTTGAGTAATTAAGAAACAGTAAGAGTAAACAGAAACATGAACAGTAATGTTCATTGGGACGATAGAGTCTGACCACCACATAACAAAGCAGAGTTCTGGGCCAGTCGGTAAGTGCATTGAGATAGTCGAAGGCGGTGCACAGGAAATGAAAGTGAGCGGAACACTCAAAGCAGATGACTGCTGAGACGAAGCGAAAGACTAACGAACCAGGAAGCATCGCCTTTCCTTTCCCCCTTCCCCCATTATCTCTCAGCATGGAACGATTATAGATTTAAAGTTGGCATTCTATCCTGCAGGACTAACGCATATCATCATTCCTTTATTCCCGGCACCTCTTTGTATTGGAATCATCTTCCCATCGACGTTGCCGAAATCATGGACAGTAAGAGCTTTAGGAATGCCTTGACTAGCATGTATTGCTTCACAGTCCTCCTGCCGTTTTGCTTTTGTGTATTTTTTCTATGTGTTCTTTTTTTCTTTAAACCCACTCCCCTCTGTAACACCTTTGGCCCTGAGGGTAAAATAAATAAATAAACCTTGCCTGTTGCATGTCGCCATGCAGCTCATCGTATGCAGGGGGAGAATGGTTGCACGCTCCACAACACCCTCAACCAGTTCGTTCTACACAGGCTTGAATAGACGCACAGCTCGCAACAGCTTCGCTCAGCTCATAGTGCACCAGGGTGAATGGACGTCACTTTGCAACAACTTCACCCAACTCATTGTAAGCTGCACTCAAGGGACATACACTCTGCAACAGCCTCACCCTTTGATCTTTTTGCCGGGAGGGTTCACTTGAGAGAGGATTGAAGATAACACCCGTGCTGGCGAGTCGGTCGAACATGCAAAGCAAAAACGTTAGCGTAAGGACTGGCACCAAAAGGAAAAGAACTTAACACATGCCTGGCACTTCCACGCACAGAAGCAGCGCAGCATTCTTGTGACACTCCAAAGGTTTCAATTTGATGCATTCTGATGCCTGCAGAAAGCAGCTGCATTTCAGCTATTTCACTCCACTCATGAGATACACCTTGAGAGAGAACCTTATGGGACTGGTGTTAGAGTTTTTACCAGAAACTCAAAAGTCGTCCCTTGAGATTGACGACACACTGAAGTCCGACTGACTGTCCAAACCGAAAACGTCAAGTTGCATTATCTTCCAAATTGGAAAACAATTAACAAAATGGAAGAAGTGCACGCTACCTTTCTGGTAATTTCAATGTCAAAACTGAGCCAGTGCTTTTGCATGGACTTTTATGCCACTGTTCCAGTTAAGACAGAAGCCACACTTGTGAGAGCATATTGTATGAGGGATTTACTCTTAATTTACCATATGGATCTACACTTCATATTTTTGCTCTTGATTCCAGCAATTTAAGGTAGGGCAACGAGACACTCCGTTTAGGCCAGGACAGTTTCATTTTTTGAGGTTCAAACCTGCTGTCATGTCATTTTGTCTCAATCAGGCCAAATGTCCTGTTTTCGTATGAAACCGCTTGCAAATACTATAATATCGCCAGAGATAGTCCACCTAAAATCGAAAGCAAATCTTGTGAAAGCAAACAGTTGGCTAACTTTCGGTGTGAAATAAACAAAGTGGAAAAAATGCTTGTTTTAGACTTTGTGACCTGCGAACCTTGTGATTGCAGGTGTACCAAAGATGGCTGTCCCTCCCAGTCAGAAATGTTCGCTTACCTCATATTGTGGCTAAGTAACCCATTTCTGCCAAGGTCACCACTGGAAAAGGCCCTACAATTACTAGAAGTGGGCCATGTTTCAGTGTTTTAGAATAAATAGCAAATCATGCCAAAAATAGGGAGGGGGGGGGGGGGCTATCTTTTGGGAGTGGGACATTCCTCCGGACAGTACGGTAGAAGAAAATAAATGCTTACTCGTGACAGTGTGTTAGAGTAAACATAGCATAAAAATGTTATCTCTAGTTGGGTCTGATTTTGAGCTTTTGTTTTGCTTTTTTCACACAGACATGTGTACGGGGCATTTTTCTATACCCCCGGTGTTTGGGATGATTAGGTTTTGCAGAATGGGTAAGAGAGGTGCTTGTGTACTAAACAACTCAACGAAAAGCCCCCAAAAAATGTGTTTTCACAGTAAGCTGAATAGTAGCAGAGCTTTTTCCTTTTGTATCGCTCAGACGCTTGATATCTCATTTTGTACTCCGAGGAGAATGGTCACCCTATTTTGAGGTCAGTGGGTATGTCAAGCTTCTTAGCACACTGTCAGGAGTCCCAAAGTACAATTTTCAAAACCTGCACTTTACAAGGAAAGCTATAAAATTGTACCACTGTACATAACCGAAAAGAAAAAAAAAAAAGAAAAACTTGTAAAATATTTTTTAAGCGTGTTGACATTTTTTTTTTTTTTTTTTTTTTTTTACCATCTGTAGTTATTTTGAGGTGTTCTAGAAAACAAAAGAAATATATTTAGGTAAGTTTTTGGACACCAAGAAACTTTATTTTGAGGCCGTATGGTTCCTCCCACCTGTCGCACCCATTGGACAGGTCCCCCAACTCGTGGATCTGCAGCCGATGGCGCATGGTGCTGTCCAGTCCGTCGATCGTGCCGTCAATGATGCAGCCCCGCTTCGGCGCGTCCGAGAAGCGAACCACTCCAACGGCGCCGGAGGGACCGGAGATCTCGGAAACGGCCGCTGCCAGGCTTCCTCTCGCTTCTGCAACATGTTCAAGACCTCGTCAAACAGCCGCCTCAACAATTCCACAGGAATTCCCGGATGTCTTTTCACTATTCACAGACACGCCTGTCAAGGTTAGGTGTACGCTCCGAGCAAACAGGTGGTGTCTTTGCCTCAGTACTTTGGACCATTGCTGCAATATTGTACAACTTAAATGTTTAATGAAACGAACTTGAGCCTACAAACTAAAGCAGAAGGCGCACTGCGTCAACAGCAGAAGGGCGACCGTTCCGAAGCGACGTGATACAGCCGCTTTAATACGCACAGTACGCACAATCAGGAGTGTTCTGAACTAGAACATGCGATAACAGCCGAAAGGTCTGCAACTGTCCAGAAGAGCATATTTCGAGAAAAAAACGAACAGTGCCCTTCTGAGTACGGCCCTGGCTCAAAGCCTCCGGCCCAAGGAACCCGCTCAGATGGTGGCCCCACCTGAGGAGGCTCCGTAACCCTTCAGGACAGCCTTTTTTCCGGTGCTCTGGATGGCCTTCTGAACCGTGGAGAAGGGCAGATCTGTCTCCACCACCACCGACTGGCCCGGGACGTCGACATGCACATGGTTGATGCCCAGGTGCTTCAGGCTGGCACGCACCTTGCTTGCGCACGAGCCACACGTCAGGTCCACGTCAAACTCGAGCTGCGCAAGCATGGCCCTGCGCTTAAATAGGGCTAAATAATGAAACTGTACTATTGTATAGATTGGCAATACAGTGCACAATAAAAAAGGACAGCGGTAGGTAGTAGACGAGACGAGTGCTGTTTGTCAGAATTAACCAACTGGCTTGCATTGCCACTTTGATCTACACCAGTGTAGCGAGGGATTTCAGTTGCACATTGTTCATTTACATACATATTGAAAGAAATTAGGACTGTGAATTGGAATGGGGGCAGCGTAGCCGATATTGACCAAACACGTCGAACTCGTGCGAGATAAGGTCGCCCCCTTCTATATCTTGCGTGCACTTCGTCGTCGTCACCGTCCTGGCACTTGATCACTAGGCTATATTCACTTTGACCGGAAGCGACGCCACAAACAAATCTGGTGTCACAACTCATCACACGCTGAAACCCGTCCATCCGAGTTCGTTTGGATTTTTTTTGGTGCAAGCTGGAACATCATCGGCAAACACGTTGTGCAACGGCGCTGCTGAACGCAAGTCGAGTCCCTTAAACGGGGGTGCCCAATCAACTCGGCTGCAGGACTTCACTGTGGAAGAGAGAAGAGGGGGAGGGGACTCAATCTTGCATTCGCATCTCTTCCTACGAAAGGGCCCACGCCGGGCGTTAGTAGTGACCATCATTCACTGTCGTCAACTGCCCTCCGTCAATGAGTCGCGTTACCGACGTGATGGGCTTTTGAAATAGAGTCCAGTGTCTGAGTGTGTCAACTCGCTACAGCTTGGGGTACATGACATAGAAATATCGGGCTGGAGAATCCAGGCCTCTCTGGGCTCGATCCCCGCCCTTCCTCGTTTCAACCTGACCGAGGATTGTGCCGACAGGTGGTTGTGCACCGCTGCTGCGTGGCACACGCTGAGAGGGCCTTGCAATGACATTCGGCCGGAATGTTTCTCACTTTACACGAACACACTCGTGCTAGTGTGACCCAAGTATATGCCCACGAGCAATGTCGCTGACCTGAAACCTTCTTTGTCGCGATACAATTTCAAAGATAAAAGCGAACTACTACTTTTAGTCTTTCCTCTCGAAAGCCCGATGATGTAGTCGCGGGGATGGACGTACTATTGACATAGTCGCAGGGGTTCCCCTTTTTCGTAACAACCTGAATTGAACGTGAGCACTCTATGAATACTCGACTTGGGCTCGTGAAAACAAATGCTTCGGGAAAAGTTTGGATAGTGAATCTCCGCCAGAATCGAACAAAGGAAATTATACATTCGTGCCGAGACGGCTTAAGGTCGGTGCGGTCCGCCTTTAAAATATGCCGACACTCATTTACGCTGTAAACGAGAAGAGCAGCACGCAGTAGTGACAGACGAACGCATGGCAGTGCGATGCTTATCCAGCTTTAAACGGAAAGAGGCGGGGGCAGAATGCAGCCTTCGCACGAAGCGGGACAGTCAAGGACACTAAACTGTGCCTAGTTTCAAATGGACGACGGCAGCCTTCAAACTGAAGCGGAGACTTCGAGAGAGCCAAGCGTGACACAACCGCACGAAAGCCGCACGAAAGTAGAAATAACGCAGACGACAAGAAAGAATTAGTGCACCTTCATCGCCGTGAGGTTCAATCTGAATTTGAGACCAGTGCGTGTGTAGTCTGCCGATCAACAGAAGGAAAAACAGAGGAGCGAACGGAAGTTGTCAGACGGCGCCGGCGAAAGGGGTAAAGTGTTACGTTACCTTGGAATGGCTGCTCGCTGAATTCTCGGAAGTCATGCTGTCCGCGCGCGCAGTCCGTACGCTACACTAGTAACACGGTAATTGTCACACCGCTCAAGTCAGGCGATCACACTTTCAGCTCTAACATTTTGAGGAAATTGGATCTTTCGGGTACGGCGACCATCCCATCTGACTGCGCCATCAATCCGTAGTGTGTGCTTGGATTGGATTTATTTCAGTTTCGGTTTTCAAGATCCAGCCATTGGATTGAAAAAATTTTGTTGTGGCGTAGTTTCACTTTCGTTCACGGTGACAATGTTCGTTGTGAACAAAATCAGTAGCTATGTTTGAAAACGGTGTGTATGCTTGTTTGTTTTTTTTTCTTGTTCCCAGACTCGGGTGCTTGCCTTTACTGTAGTACATTCGCCTTGTACCTTTTTATTGCCTGATTTAACCTCTATTTTACCAGTGATTTTACCCTCTACCTAACCTTACGCCGCAACGATCGAAGCCAAATACAATCTTAAAAAGTAAAGAACAAAAAAAAAAAAAAAAATCTATTGTCACGTTTTATTATAAAAATTTTTTTTTTTTTAAAGTGGGGTGGAAAAGTAAAAAAAAAAAAAAAAAAACTTTCAGTTTATTTATTTATTTTTTTTTTTTTTTTTTTTTTGGGGGGGGGGGGGGGGGGGTTAATATTTCGTTCATTAACTTCAATGAACGCGGACCTCCGCTGAAGTGCTTGGATCTCCTCGGTGGAGCCGAACGGATCGTCGTGTCGCATGCAAGGCCGGAAGCGTGTGTCTCAAACTGCTGTCGGATCGGACGATTCTGCAGTCCATGTGTCTCGCGCTTTCAGATGGGCGCGCGGGTCGCTTCCTGTGTTATCTATGTTAATGTTTTCTGGGTACGTCAACATATTTCTGAGTACATCTGTTGGCCTGTTTACGTAAACAGCATGCACAAGAAATTCCTGTTGTAGATGTGGCCTACATTTACAAAAACAGTAAAAAAAAAAAAAAAAACTTTTTTTTTTTTTTTTTTTTTTTTTTTTTTGTGACGGAAAGTTGGGCAGTCGCTTAGAAACACGCGCACAGAGCTCGGTATTTTGTTTATCAAAACCTTGAATACACGTTAAAAATATAAATATACATGTGCTGTTTCGCAAATAATTCACCAATTACAAAGAGCTGCTGTTCCTGTTTTAATTTGTTTGCAACGTGCCAAAAGAAAAGCATCTCCATTGGCACAAAGATATGTATAAAAATGGTATAAAATATTGCCTTACTGGGCCTAGTTAAACTTTTTCATTCCTCGGCAATCCCACCACAAACCCTGAGAGACAGCCATTAATATTCGTGGTGGTTTTTATAATCGCGAGCAGTATATTTTTTTTCCATTGGTCATGCAGTGTGAGGCTTTTATGGTCGAACTTTCGGGGTTCGACTGGGTCGAACCGGTTCGACGAACCTTCGAACTTTTCACCAGATTCGACCGGTTCGACTTTGTGGACAGTGTGGCCAGACCTTGATACAAGTATGCCTAGGTTTGGAAAACATTTTTTTTATGCAAAGGGTTATTTTATACTGTGAACAGCTGCAATTAAAAGAAACTAAGTCTAATCAATGAAGAAGTTAATAACTTCATTTTAGTACTGTATTAACTGAAATAGCCAATCAGCGCTGCACTTAATTCATCTCTTAGCCATTATCATCCAAACCGAAGCCAACTGGCCAGCCTGTCGCGCATGCGCACACGAGTCGAACCTCAATACAAGGTTCGTCGAACTTTCCACTAAAAGTTCGAAAAAGTCGAACCTGGTCGAACTCGAACCGCGGCCGGTTCGCGACACTTCTGTTTACTTTGTTGGTATAGTCTTTCCACTGGATCTCCAATTGTGAGTTCGAAACCCGCCCCGTACTTTTCCTCATGTGTGACGTGTCTGTCTTCCGACGATACGTTTCGATTGCGCCTGCACAAGTTCTCCGCCACTAACGTCACGAGCAGGATTTGTCCAGGTGGCTGTAGTCGCTGTGACTATACAGTCACAGTCCTTCATGTCCACGTATATCCGCGGATATCTGCAGTAAACTGGCGGATTCGGATAAAAATGAATCAGATTTGGCTGATTGCGCATCAGATGCGGATACCATGGGGGCTGCGGATGCGGACACCCGCGGGTCCGGATTCATTTTTGCCGAGGCGGCCCATAAACCTGTGCGACCGTACAGTGTATATATATATCTATATAGAGAGAGAGACAGAGAGAGAGAGCGAATAAGCTAGTGATACTATGAAGGTTGGAGCGAATAAGCGAGTGATACTATGAAGGCTGAGAGAGATTCGGAGAAATTCTTCCTTACGTCAATAAAGATTTGATTCTCACTACAAAGATCGTTTTAGAACGTTCTAGCTCTCCAGAAATATTATGCCTAGAAAAAGTAAAGAACGCAGAACTATCAGCCGTCCCGGAAATCGCGTGTTCTTCTCTGGCAGGGAAAGAACGGAAAATTTTTTGGGCAAAGAGAACCCAAAACGTACAAGCTACGAGAAGGTAGAAAAAGCCTGCGAGTGGCTTCTACTGCAAGTGGCTTCTACTGAGAGTAAGTCTTCTGTTCAGAAGACTGAATTCGGTCCTCCAGAGTGGTGGAACTTGCGCCAGCACGAGTTTCTGGACCTCATTCTTGTAGCGCAGTTCGTGCGTGTCATCCCAGCATCGAGTGCACCAACGGAAAAAGACTTCTCATTAGCGGATATTCATTTAAGGTGCTTGGAGGCACTGGAAAATAAGTCTACTGTCTTGAAATGCGCAAGAAGAACAATATAATTGTAAGAGATCCATGGAGATGAGCTTGATTAATACCTTGATCGCATACGAAGTGCCAAAGACTCTTATATTGGCGAGGAACGCTTCCAGTACGATGATACTCCATGGTGATCTTGGCGCGACTGGTTTAGAACAACCCCCTGGAAGCTTCGAAGATTTAAATGGACCAAGATGGCGATTCCCATGGCAACGTAGGCTGATTAGCCAATCGCCTTGCGAGGTTTGGATCGTCTGTATGTTAGTATCCGTTTGTGTCCGGCTAGCAGGTAGGGAAGGCAATGGCGCTACTTTCCCAGGATCCAGTGACTCTAGTGAATACTATCTCACAATACATGATAGCATAAAGATAGCGAATTTGGAGTATGACATCATATGCGATGCGTTCCTCTCCACTTTAGTGTCAAAGCTCTGGTAATTATTTATATTTTTCGGCAGCTGTATTGCAGACCTTTAGATACCTAGTTTTTTGTTCTGGGGTAAATATTTTTATTTATTTTTTTGTAGCATGATTTATTGAAACCGAGCTATTTTTGACTTCTGCATTCTCAACCAGAGCTTAAAAGACCAGCACATGTCTGATTTGATTTCATCTAGCGATCATGATGGATCAACTTCAACTGCTGTCCTTGGTGAAGGGCGATCTCACTTGGAAAAATGTGTTTTCTCTGACACCCCCCCCCCCCCCCCCATGTCACACATTCTTCTTAGATTTCTATTTTCTTTTCTGCACCAATTCTGTTTTCTTCCTTAAAAAAAAAAATGCAATCGCGTGACGCAGCAGATTTTTTTTTTCATCAGACGATCTTATTTTGCGAACCGGGAGAGGTCGCTCGGCGTCCGAAACAAGGAGTGTTTCTTTTTGCATGTCTTGTAACCCATGTTGCACCCTGGCAAAAAAACACAACCGCTCTGTCTTTTTCTTCGCAGTATTTGTCATCGTTGCGAGTCCCTTGTCTCTTAAAGATAAAATTTCCCTACCGAACGCAAGAAATGACCCTATTTCTGCCAAAATTTCCCTTGCTTTCCCAAATACTTACGTAATACTAAATATTCGTGTTTTTTTTGTTTTTTTTTTTTTGCAGACGTATAGCAAAAATGAGTTTATTGGGTCAAAACCGCGGCCAAAACAAATATGGCGAGGGGGAGTGTTACCGGGATACTAAACTGACAAATGAAACCCTATCTTCATCTTAGATGTTAGGCACGCCATCCGAACATGGCAGTGTTTAAAAAACTTCACTTCCGTTTTTTTATAATGGTCCGTCCAAAACAAAAAAAGTGTAACAGAAGCGAGAGTTCTCGCACTCGAACAGGGGGAACACGACACAAAGTAACTACCATATCGTGCACGGCAATTCGCGAAATATTATTAGCCACGGTAAGTCATGGCATCTCCATCTACATCTGAAAGACAAGTCGCCCGTTAAGGCAGACTGTATACTCCGTTTCATAATAATAATAATTAGAAAAAGAACTTTGGGCCTGTGTTAGTTTATACAGCCTAGAACTTAGCCTGCCCCAACGGGCGACTTGTCTCCCAGCCGTAGATGAGAAATTTAGCCAGTGCAGTACACACCGCCAGCCTGGGGTCTTTAACGAGCATCGCGCAGGAGTGGGACGATGCTAATTTATATCGAGACGGGCAGTGGTGGGGATTAAACCCGCGATCTCTCCGTTTCATTCCTTCAACGCTGTGAAAGCTACTGGTGCGAGCGCGTGACTTCATCTATGGTTTCGTTCGCGAGAGAACTCGTGCAAATGGTCAACGAGATCAAGCCCCGTGCTCGCGCCAGCAGCTTTGACAGCGCTGTTTATTAAGTATGAAATGGAGGATAGTTCCGGTTCTCTATACATAGTACACACGTGTGGGCAAGCACGTGCCTTGCAAAGTTGCCTTCACGAGTGTAGGGTGCAACGCACCCACAGATCCATTCTTCTCATGAAAATAAAAGAGATGGCTCGAGGCGCAGCACGCGCTCGCGCCTCGGAGAGCGCGTGCAAGAGAATGCTCTGAAGCCGCCATCACAGGCAGACACGTCGTTCGCTTGTCTCGTTCTATGTCCTCACTTTAAATAACGTGGCAGGGCCTCGCGGCCCCCCCACATATTTGGTGACCCGGTCGAGGACCATGGACAACGGCGAACCCCAAAGAGCAGCGGCCGGACCCCCGGTTTCCATCTCATCGGTTGCAGTCCGACTTCCGCCGTACTATGACAGAAACCCGAGGGTCTGGTTCCTGCAGGCTGAGTCCCAGTTTCATCTCAGCGGTGTGACGAGCCAGGAGAGCAAGTATCACCATGTCGTCTCGGCGCTGTCGCTGGCAGCAGCCAACGAAGTATACGACATCCTTGCGCAACCGTCGGCCACAGCTTCCTACGACCAGCTG